TATCACAAATACTTGACTCGTTATCTCTGTATTCCAGGCATGCGTCCGTTCATCCCAGACAAGGACGTTGGGGTGTTTGAGAGTTTTCTGGAGAGCATCGGCATCCGGGAGGGTGGGATTTTAACTGATAGCTTTGGACGCATCAAACGCAGCATGAGCAACATGTCGGCTACGGCCATGAGAGGGTATGTAGGCCAGGCCGTGTAGACTGTGATCTGTAATTGTCTCACATTCCTGTTGATTTTAGTCAAACTGAAGAGCAATAACATTACACTGCATGACCTTTTTTCACATGTGCATCATTTTTATTTATGATTTAAAATCAATAATGAATAGTTTTCACAAAAATGTTGATGAGATCATAATAATAATTTCAATATTTATTCTCTTTGAGTATCAGCATGTAGTGTTTTTCTTTACAAAGGTGGTAGCTCATGCACATTATTTGTATGTTTATCATTGTGGTTAACATTACTGTGTCATTTTCTATTTATTAGCAATTTAAAATAACCTATAAAAAGCTAAGACACTCTTAAAATTATAATATGGAATTCTATTGTTCTATTATTCTATTAATGGCCCTATTATTGTTAAAAGCATCTAAAAAAAAAAAAAACTTTCTGAATATTTTGAGACAGTTTGTCATTAAAATGACTTAAAGAATAACATTTTTTCCTGTTACATTGGTGGAAATGGGCTTTCATAGTACACAAAACAAATTATTTTATTGTTTTAGGAATACATGTGAATTTCCCTGCAAGATGAAATTCATTCTCACCTGGACAAACAAGAAGTCAGAGGAATGAAGTAGCATTTACATAATCTGTCCCCCCCCCCAGCAGGTATGACAACTCCTCTCTGGCCTCAGGATCTCAGGAATTCAACCGACGCATTACTGACATCACCCACGACATCCAGGCGCTCGGCTTCCAGGACACACACGGAGACATTGAGGAGGAAGACTACTACCTCTGATGGAGAGAGAGGGAGAATGAATTGAATTGACACTGTGTTTTAACTTTGAATCTGTCCATGTGCATCTGAGCGAGAGCAGCAGTTCACTGCATTATTAGACAAATAAACTGAAAATATTGTCTGACAGAGGAGGCCTTAATGTTTCAATGCAATTCCTGCTCTGTGCACGGATATAACAGCAGGCAACAAATAAAACCAACAAGTGAGTGAAATAACACAATAGTATGTGTAAGTTATTCTGTAGAGAAACAAATCTGTCCTAATGCAGTTTAACTCAAAGCACAATGTAGTTTCTTTATCAATATCCCATACAGTAAATGCACAGACACAAAAAGGATTAAAGAATGCAAATGTTATTTTAACTTCCAGGTTTTAAACTGCATCATTGCTGCTAAAATGAAAACTAAAACTCCACAGATTCATGCATCTTCTACATATAAATAATGAACCTGAATGAAGAAGAATTCCCTCCTGTGGCTATTATTTAAGACAGAAATCTTAATCCGACTATTTCATCATTATAAAAGATATAAAAATAAACAACAAGACATTTTCAGAAGGAGCAGTATAGTTATTACTGTGTAATCACTAGTGGAGCCTCAGCAGTACTGAATAAAGAGCCTGAGCACTGTATTCCATTTCTTATTTCTATTGGATGTGTAATTTGCATACAAATATACATTTTTAATGCCATGCATCATCATTAAGGAGCCTTGTGTATAGCTGGAAAAAATAAATGCAAAACCATTTTCCAATGCATTTTTAATTTAGTGTTAATGTTATGCCTGTTTGCATAAAATTAAGGCATCTAAATAATTGATAAAGCTGCTGGTATTTACTGGAGGGATTGTAATACCTAACAGTCACCACATGGAGGCAACTGAGGATAAAAGAGTGGATCAACATGCCTGCTACTGAGCTAAAGGCTCCGCTACTAGGGAGAAAGTATAGCTTTAATCATAGACAGACAGACACACAGACAGACAGACAGACAGACAGATAGATAGATAGATAGATAGATAGATAGATAGATAGATAGATAGATAGATAGATAGATAGATAGATAGATAGATAGATAAAATGAAGGATAACAACATGAGTTATACAGTTTAATGGTAATCATGAGCACCATAAATAAAAAATCTAAAATCTCTCTCCTTAAAATCGTTCTCTCTGTGTGTCTCTCTGTCTCTCTCCCAATGCTGCATTGACCCGTTATCCTGGCGGCAGCATCATGACCTTCCCATGGTGCACTGCTTCTCTGCCCTGCGGTCCTCTCCTCTGCCAGCCTCACTGAACATCAGAAAGAGAGAGAGAGAGTCAGTACACCCATGGGGTTCACCGGAGTCATGTTAGTTTCCTCACTCTCATTATGTCATCGACTAACGCTGTGTGCAGTTATTGTATCGCGAGCAGAGTAACTTTATTTTCACATTAATGCAAATGTACCAGAGGTAACCAAAGGCTGGTTTTCATCTCTTGACCCGGATCGCAGGCACTGCAAACAAATTAACTAATTGAAGATTCAAATATTTAAATAGGACACATGCATGGAGAGTTCTGGATGTTCTGGAGAAAGAGAAAGAGGGAGGCAGAGAGAGATCAAACTCACAACTGAACTATGTTTTGCTGTTTGAAAGCACCTCTGTCACATGTTTACAACACACATCCCATACAGTTAAATACTAAACATGTTTCAACAAAGCTTTTCCAGGCTCTGCAACCCTGGAAAATTAGGAAAAGCTTTATTGTCTGTTCAGACACCATGTTTGGGCTCACTGGCAATATTGTGACTACTTCTTGTGCTGCTTCTGAAGGTCAGAGGTCATGATTAGAGTTTATATCAGTCAAAATGATACCAGGAAATAAATGCTGTGAGATAATGTTCAGTTAGGAGATCAACTCTTAACTGACTGTGTGTGTGTGTGTGTGTGTGTGTGTGGCGCACGCATGTCAGTAGGATGATGGAAATGATATTGTGGCAAATGCCGCCACATGGATTATTACAGAGGTTACAGAGGTGTAATCCGATGATGAGGATCAAGTTTACACAATGTGTCTACTGACACACACACACACACACACACACACACACACACAGTCCCTTCCTCTGTTTGTCATTTGCAGCCTTATATCATCATGGATACACTGTTCACTATCAGTCCTGGGTCAAATATTACTTTTGGTTATCTCCTACAGTATGACCGACTCAGCGTATTGTTTCATATACCATACTGCTTATACATGTAATGTATTTAATAGTAAATGGTAAATAATTTATTTCTTTATTTTTTAAATATCTAATATAAAATGTATTTTTACTTTAATGGTAAATGGATTTTAAGCACTTTACACAAAGTCACATTCAACTATTCCCACATATTCCTAAACTGATGGCAGAGGCTGCCATTCAAGGTGCCAACTGCTCATCAGAAAGTAACTAATGCACATTCACACATCGATGGCACAGCCTATCTGGCCCAAACACACTTCTACATATACTGATATAATAATATATTAAGTGTAGTTTAAATTGGATGTATAATGTTGGTTAAAAATCACATTTTTCAAGAGTGTGTTTATATTTAATTGTCATTTTTATCTCGTATATTCCACACACAGATACAGCAGATAACATTTGCAATTTAAAGTGCAATTACACAAATAATCTGGCTTGTGCTGCCATATGGTGTCATGTCAATGCTTTTTCCACCCTGTGTGCGGTGCATCCCAGCTGGGTGTGGCCACAAATACCAAAGACCACCTGCCCACACTAAAGACCAGCGTTTACAATTGCACAGTATTTTTATTACAAGCACCGTTTGGGAGGCTTTTGTAACAACACGCATTAATTAAGATTAATGTTGAACCCCCGGCCAGCTCCTTTGCATAGACGAAAAACATGTATTATAATCAGACATTACATCATGGGAATGAAAATGGATTTTCAGAAAGATCAGGCTGAGCTGGAAGGTCATATAGTTCATTTGTTGCTCTGCAGATGTAGGGGATCAGGGGTTGAGTGTACAATAACAAACTCCCAGCCTGCAGGGATTACAGTGTGGTGTGACCTACAGTCATACTACAGAGTGTCATCGTCCTGCTTAGCCGGCCAGGTGCCACTCAGCCCAGTGTTGGTGTCACTGCAGGGATCACTGCAGAGAAAATCCTCTGAGGTTTCATAACAAAGTGCCAACAGCCAATCAAAGCCGCTGTCAGGTAGAGCCGCAGTGACAGCTCAGTTAATGCCTCAGCAGCCCTGATACTCCCTGATACTCCCTGATACTCCCTGATACTCTGGAGATGCACAGAGGAATTACACAGACACTGCAGAAAACATTAACACACAACTAACACTGCTTAAGTAAAATAAAAAACAAAAAGGAGAAAATGCATAAAATAAAATCAATATACAGCTTGGAAGCACATGGTGCAATTTGTTGCATAACAATAGGGCAAGGGTATTTAATTAATATATATATATATATATATATATAGTTATGTGCAGTGCACAAACAAAAAGAAGCAGCTATGAGTTGCCAACTAGCCACCATAACAAACAATCTAAAGCCTCATTCAAATCAGAAGGTGATTTTCCAAACAGACCTCTAGTATCAACAATTTTCAACTCAAGACAAACAAGTTACTCAGGTAGATTTAAAATGTTTAAAAGCACTACACTTTCTGACTCTAAGTGGTAAAAACAAACATCCACTTCCTGATGTCTTAACTGCTTTAGGAAGATGAGCATAAAGAGAGAAAAAGGGTGAACACGGTTTTTAAATACACTGTTTCTTCATTAGCCATCTGAAACAACGTTTCATTAATAAAACCATTATTTGTGATTGTGCGTTCCACCGTTTATTCCGGTATGTTTACATTGTGGAGCAGTCTGTAGAGAGAGCGTGGCCAAAACGCCTCCCCCGAAGGCTCGTGTGCGGTGCCAGACGTCATTACGCAGTCCCGCCTGAGCCAATGAGAGCCGAGGAGGGCGTAAAGCGGTATCGCGCCGGGTAAAAGGGATTTGACAGTTGCGGGTCTCAAGCTGATCCTCCAGTTGACTTCCTCAGTGGGACAGAGACCATGGCGGCGGCTGCTGCCTGCGGCCAGCACGGCGCGGCGCTAGTGGCCGGCGTTAGCGGCAAAAAGACGCATAGTAACAGGGAACACAGTCGGAGGAACCGGGAGAACTCTCGCCGGAGACAAGCTGCTCTTTTGTTTCTGAGTAATATCTCGCTGGACGGACGGCCAGTCCACAGTAATTCAGCCGAGAATGTAGGAAGTCGCCACCACAAAGACCCCGACCTGGAGGGAGCAGACTCCGGCTCTGCGGCGGCAGCAGCGGCCGGGTTGTGCCCGGAGCTGGGTACCAACAGCTACGGGACATTCTCCACTTTGGCAGCATCCGCGAGCTACGGGAACGTCAGTCCCTCCACGGCACCGCGGCCAGGACTCCTCACAATACCGCCTATCCTCATCCTGCCGTCGGACAGCGGGTTCAACGATGTGGGCAGCGCGGAGGTGCTGATGGAGTGCCGCAGAGGCTCGTTCCCATCGCCGGGGAACCTGCTCTCCCCGTCCCCGTCAAACAACAGCCTGCTACCGTCGCCACTGGGACCGCGGAAGTCCTCCACACTGCTGTCAGTACATAGCTGCAACTCGGTGTCCTCAGAGCCGCGACAAAGGTGAGAGACACACGGCTGTGTTTGTGTTGTTTCATCGGGTGAGTGTGTGTCGCTTACAGCCACTTCCACTGTGGAGTTTGCATGTTGAGGCTGGTGGATCCTCTCTAACGTCACAGGCACCTTAAACGTCTCAACGTTACCTGGAAGTTTGAGAGAGGAGGTTGTATGTCATCTACACTGTCTGGTCCAATTCAACTGCACATAAGCTGCCATTTGATTTAATGCTGCAAGTCCTTGGTTCCCGTTAGTGTCTGTGGTGTGGTTCCAGTGGATGTATGGATCATTTTATTTCACAGCCAGGGAGTGTGTCACTGGGCGTGATGCAACCTTTCTCTGTATCCACTGTACTGCCCCCCCCCAGAGGTAAGACTGAGCTCAGAACATTAACTGTAGGCATGTAAATGAGTCATGTCTTACAGCCCACACAGGCTTAGGGTGTCTGCTCCTCACCACAAGATCTTATACATTAATGACTAATGCCACTTGACATTGGGAGTCGCTGATGTGGAATATTAAAAGTTCCCTTATCTTAATGTTCATGTGAGCTTTTCTTTTTTTTTCTCATTTAAATTTTTATTGAATTCTTAATAACAAAGCAGAAGAGTACATAAACATATGACATGTCACAGAGGAAAATTAAAACTTGAAAAATAAAGCAAGAAATATAAGGGGGAAATCCAGTGTACAGAAGGACAAAGAAGCTATGCTGTATTCAGACTCTGACTTCTTAGGCTGAGTTTCCATTAGTCCTTGTGTAGGTCCAAAAAAGATCCCAAGAGGTCATGCCATCCTCTTTGTTAGTCCAGTCTTTCAGATTAGGAGATACAGCAGTTTTCCAGTGTCTTAAGATAACTCTGGAAGCTGTAACCAAGCCCACCACGTGAGCTTTTCTACACGAATGACTGTGTTAGCTTGTGCTCCTCCTCACTTGTCCCCACAAAATTAGAGAGTAAAACCACCGTATGGGACCTCCATTCATTAAAGCTGCAGCAGGTAACTTTTATAAAAGTAACTTTTTAGTCATATTTGCAGAAACTTTCACTATATCCTGACTGAAGACTGTAAACATCAGGTTCCTCTGGCTCCTCCTGGTGCAACGAGAATCCGCTGTACCCGAAAGAAAACAACCAGTCAGAGGTCTCATTCCCGGTGTCGATATTTGACGACATGAGACTCAACCATTAAGTATCTTTCTCGGCTCTGATTGGTCGTTTTCGTTCAGCCACGGTTGCTTCGTGTTTTGTCCTAGGAGCGCTGGGAGGAGCCAGAGGAAGCTGATTTCTTCACAGATTATTTTCCTCATGTACTACTGTCAGGATATAGTGAAAGTTTCAGAACATATCACAAAAAGTTATTTTTATAGAAGTTACCTACTGCGTCTTTAAATTGTGCTTCAAACCGTTCAGACTGATCAGATTCTTTTGGTCTTGTTTACGTTTTCCAATCAGATGTCAGTTTCAGTTCAGATAAAGTACAACCAACAGTTATGTTCATTTTTAATTAATCTTTTAGAGAAAATCTCGTCTCTCAAGGCAACGTCTTCAGATTGTTTATGTCCGATCAAAAACTCAAAGATAACCAGTTGCAATGATATAAAACATCCTCACATTTGAGCATTTCTGCTTGTTAACTGAATAATCCAAAGTATTTTATGGGCTTTTTGGTGTTTAATTTTCTGTTAACTAACCAATATATTCATCAACTAATTGTTTTAGCACTACAGTCAAGTATTTAAAGTTGACACCAAACGCATGGTCAGATGTTACTTTGTTTTTTTTATCAAACATTTTCTGATTTGAATCATAATTTGAATTTTAAAGTGTATCGCCAATAAGAAAGTAAATAAGTAAACAAAAAATGCATTTGAGTATTTAAGCCTATTGTAATCATATTTCTTGTCAGATATTGTGTTTATACTCCTCAAATAAGCTGCTTATGCATTTTAAAAAAGTATTTTTGGGGTATCTAATACTTGCAACACCTGCATCAACCCTCCATTTTCCTTCTTTTGAAAACAACAGTCAAACATGGCTTTTTGAACTTAAAGATTCTTGTTATCTCTAACTCTAACCATAAGTTTATTTCCACCCTTGTTGATAACTGAGAGCTTGGTTGCATTTGGAATCTGACAGGAAACATACTTTTAAAAGTAGTAACTGGTGGCTTTGTAGAAGGGAAGTGAACTTGGGGACGGTTGAAAACCACTAACAGACAACATGAAGTCGAGCTGTTTTCTGTGGCACACTAACCTAGAATAATGTCATTTGGGTGTTTACTACTGTGTTACTCAGGATTAGTTAGGATTGTCTGAGGGAGAGAGACATTTAAACATAGAGACAGGCAGAAATGGACTGGATGAGGACAGGAAGTCTTCAGTGGAAAAAGAGCAAGTGATGAATTTCTAAATTTTAACTGTGTAAATGAAGTGAGTGGCAGAGTTTATATGAAGCTTTCTCGTCTGGCACCAGTTCAGACATGCTGTGCCTGTGTGAGTCCTGATGGATGGATCAGCTTCGTCACCATGTTGGCAGCATGTCAAACCCAGAGAATGTCAGCCCTGCAGCCATAAACACCGCTTAACCTATTTACACCTAACAACAGGCCGGGAAATTACCAGCGGATAACAGCTCATCAGTCAGACTGCTGCACCAGCCACCAACCGTCAGCCACGGCTCCTGCTGTAGGACTTGATTTTGTTTATTCACCGTGATGCTGCACACACAGCGCTTCATTGTATTTCATGGCAACGTGGTTGCTGTCAGTGTTACTGATGAGGAGTGTAATTTATACACTAGCTATTGGTTTGTCACAAGTGGGTTTTGCGTATTATCGTAAAAGTGAAAGAAAGAAAAAGGAAAAACGGCAAACTCAGCGGTATAAAAATGTAAGAACAATAAATCAGCAGAACATTTGAATTGTTTTACATAAATAGATAACATTACCAAACATTTCTGAAAGTTAACTCAGAGTGATATTGTTCCTTTAATTCTTTTCTGAGCGGCAATTTCTCGTCTCCTATTGGCAGACATATTTGCATCGTACCAATATGTTTGTGATAAGCTAATACAGGCAGATAATATCGGCTGGCAGATTTATTAATTAACTTCTACATTTAATTACATCCTGGATCTAATCAGCTCTATGCCAAAAAAAATGTACCTCCTGAATGGTCACAACTTCCACTGGGATGTGCAGGCAGCGATCTATGAACAGACAACATCGAGTGTATTATTTAGAATTTCAGCGTTTGTCAGTAACTCTAATATCTATCTTTATTATAGTGTTATAAAGCCTCCTGATTGCTTGTTATTTGTTAAATATGAGATTTGTCTGCAGGAAAACATAATTTAACAGGTGAATTATTTTCTTGCCAGTTTCCTGGGTTAGGCAGTAAGTTGTAGTGTAATGTGTTGATACTTTATGCACCACCCCACACACACACTAGTATACATGTGTTCATTGTTTTCATTTTTTGAGTTTTGGCCATAGTCTGACCATCAGTGTCTGTTTTTTGTCTATTTGTACATCCAAACACTGCACATGCCTGCAGTATTTCTCCAAGCAGGGACTCTTGGTGACGGAATTAATTCCAACAAGTAGCCAGCATTCAGAATAAAGCAAGTTAGCAAGTTGATTTCATAGTGAAGTCTGCATCTTTCAATATCGTTAACTAGCAGATCCCCAATATGGCGACCACGCAGACGCACATCAAATCGAGAATGCTGTATGTACGTTACTATATATATATAAGATGTATGTATTTGCAGATTAGAAACTCTTAAATATGTTAACTTCCATATATCATGAACACTATTATTGGGGCCAATGCTAATACTAAAGGCTTCTGGTTACTGTCTCTGATTGATTACAGTAAAAACGTTTTACATGTGGACAGTTTTGACAAAAGGAGCTTTACTGTATAGCTGGTGAATACATTAATGCTGAGTTTCCTGTGCTCGCTGGAACCGCAGTGGCTGAATTTAAAAGCAGCCATCCCCTCACCTACACACTTCCTGGTGAGACGGAGTTGGCTGTCGTCAGATACGATCATCAGTCACGCTCTGTTTAGCCTCGCTGTCTGCAACCATGCTCGGTGTGTGAAGTCCTGCCAGCCAGCTAACCAGCCAGCCAACCGCTTCATTAGTCTGCTCGTGAAGACACACACACACACACACACACACACACTGACACACATCAACAGTTTAGCTGTTACAGATGCTCTTATAAACAGTGAGTGAGGGCACTTGGCTGGTAACGTACACACTTTGGCTGCTGAAGGGAATGAGCTTCGGTTACAGTTGTAATTCCTCACCGTCACTGTGTCCAAAAAGACGTTTGACTTACGGACACGCTTTAGCATCTTCGCCTCAGCTGAGTGAATCTGCATCTTCTATTTCACAAGAAGGCCGATGGTATTACATAATGGTTTCGTGTGAGAGAAGTGCTAGAAAAAGAAACGAGAGAGTTCACAGTTCAGGAGAGTACAAGATGTTTTTCGCTGTTGAACTGTGTCTGATTTTAGACTTTGGGACAATGAGATGTTTCTGCTAAACTGAACATTAAACATTCATGCGTTTGGCTAAAAACTACAAGAGCCTCAAACACTTCAGAGACACAGGCGCGTTTGTTCTGCAGTCAGAGTGAGGGCGCGTGATGTAATGCATTTCCCAAACAGACCAACTCCAGGCCGAAACTCAAACCTTATTCTAACCTTAACCCTTAAACAGAGCCAGAGCTGGCAGACCTGGATGTGAATCTCCTCATTCTGAGGTCTACATTGTGTGTGTGTGTGTGTGTGTGTGTGTGTGTGTGTGTGTGTGTGTGTGTGTGTGTGTGTGTGTGTGTGTGTGTGTGTGTGTGTGTGTGTGTGTGTGTGTGTGTGTGTGTGTGTCTGTGTGTGTGTGTGTGTGTGTGTGTCTGTGTGTGTGTGTGTGTGTGTGTGTGTGTGTGTGTGTGTGTGTGTGTGTGTGTGTGTGTGTGTGTGTGTGTGAGAATTGCAT